TTCAGCTATTTACCTGAATCAACAGTTGACATGTTTTTTGAGTAGATGTCATTATTTTGTGAAATGCTTTGCCCTAAGCCTTCTGAGACTGCCACTGCAGAACTGTGCAATTTCTGCTCATCAGTGTCTCCCAAGGACTGATCAACGTGATGATATGCTTGCTGTAATGCTTCAATGTCACTGGCAGTTTGTCCATAGGAAGTACCTGTAAAAATGCAGGCTCGTAAGAGACATTACTGGATTTTCTGTTTTGGGAAACATCCCACTGGAACCTGTGTTTCAGTAACTAGCTTGGTCTATCGTGGTGAAAACAGTGATTTCAGTTACATAAAAAATCCCCTGAAAATCTCATTTTTACTATAATCAGTTGACAAGTTAATCAGTACCTACTGAATAGTCCCATCTACAGTTTGCATGCCTCTCCACCATCCTCCCTCACATCAATATCTTATCAGTGCTAAAGCTAACAGTGTATGTGACACAACTATTTTAACGGATGCCATCAGAGCCATACTCTGGATATAAGTGGCCTACACTGTTGTGCAAAGTTTGATAAGAGAATGTATTTAATAACTGTGTTCAAGGCAGTCAAAGAAGAATTTCAGCTATGATAATAACCAGAGGATGAATAACCAATGCAGTTTCATATTTAAACATGAAACTGCAATGTCAAAAACTACTTTGCAATAATTGAGTGTAAAAAGGTATCTTTTTAGCAGAAACAAGACTTTTTCCTGAAACACTTCCTCCTGCTTTCAAGATCTGTTGTTAAAAGTTGAGGGTTTCATGTTCCCCAATAACTTAGGAACAAATAAAGATATCAGTTACTTATTCTAATCAAGTAAGGTTTTAGGGTTCCAGTTTTGTTGAGTGGTAGATTTTTTTTCTTGTTTTTCCTTTTTTTTTAAGCACCCCTTACCTGCTTCATTCATTTCAATTCCACTGACTTCTTCAGGCTGATCATGTTCGCCTGGAGCTACACCTGATGTTTCAATGGCCTTCTGCAGTTCTGTTGTTGAATCTTGTGAATCAAGTAACACAACTAACAGCAAGAAGATAAAAGTAAAAGAAAACACAATTCTCCTATTTATACTCTGTCTGCACTGCAATTAGAAATATCCCAAAACTTATCTTGATGTCCTAAACATACAAAATTTTATTTTTTTATATATATATAAAATATATATACATGTCTATATATATACAATGTCTATATATATACAATGTATATATATACACACACATTATTCTAATGCCATTAGTGGTAAACTGATGAACTATCTGAGCTCTGACTAGATGTAATAAATATAAAAATACATTGATGATCACTCTGAAGCATCAACATGTATATTATTTTAACTGCTTCAATCCAATGGATTTTCAGTACACAGAACACAACAAAATCAGATGAAAAAGATCCAAATAGTAAAAATCAGGTAAGCAACTTTCAAAAAGTTGTATTTAGTCTTCTTCCACTGATCAAAGTTTATATTTTACCTTTAGCCAGCATGCCAGTGTTTGCTTCTTCCTAACAAAAATAAAGAAAAAACATTGGGTTTGAATATCAGGGGAAAAAAATGGACAAACTTTAGAAGTGGATTGATCCAATACCTAAAACCAGTTTTTAGATCTTAGAACTAAGCAGTTCTTCATGCTCCAAGGATATGAACTTCTCTAAAACCCTTCTTGGGATGCCAAAAGGTTCCTGTACTCTATAAACCCTCTCAAAAGTGAACAGGAATTAATAAAATGAACACTTTTGCACCTTCCTGGTTTTCTTTTACTGTAGTTCGAGAAAAGAAGAGAAAGTAGCAGTAAGTACATTACACTTCTATTCTACTTTTTCTTTTCAAACATTTATTACAAATAGCAATCTAAAAAATTTACTTAAAAATAACTAAAAAAAAAAAGAAAAAAAAGTTTGCCTAGCGAAGATGAATACATGGTACTCTATAGATTTTTTTTTTTGTAAAAAACCCAAATCTGACTGTGTGCTCGAGGGATGTATCTGCGTGCTTCAGCCACGTGCTATACATCAAAAGACCTGACTAAGCCAGTGGACAGCAATTTCATACAGGGTAGATTTTTGGGTCCTCTGTCCAAAGTGCTTCTTTATACAGAACTACTTCCATCAGTCTACCACTTGCTGGTATAGACACCACCTTAACAGCTCAGAGAGGTAATTCACTACCCATTCTGAGGCTGAGTCTCCAACCTGAGCTCATCATTTACAAAATCCCATCCACATTTCTTAGTTCAAAGGAGGAGTAAGCAGGAAACCTCGTGAAGAACTGAACCCTTTCAGTGATATCTCACAGGAAAAAGTATATCCTTAATAGAATAATACTGCTTCAGACAGTACATATTAATGTAAAGGTTTCCTATATCTACAGTTCTACATTGTAGAGATTTTAAAATTCATGCAAGTAATAGAAACATCTGGTAAGTTATACCTGTTCTTGGGGACTTAAATCAACTTCTGACATGATGTTTTGATTCACCTCATTTCCCTCAGCTTTAAGGGCAGGATTATCATCTGTCTCTTCAAAATCTTCACTGTAGCTACCTGAAGAGTAAAATAAACATGAAACAGAATGAATATTCAATGAAGATAAAGCAGCAAGACAAAGCTGTTTCCTTTTCCTCAATAACCTATTTAAAAACAGCTACTGCTAATATTAATCCTTTTACAAAAGCAACAGAAAGGTTCCAGAACTGAGTGTGATACTAAAACCACATTGAAAGTCACACATAATCTCTCTAAATTCAAATGAAGTTTGTTTTACAATCAGATATGCTTTACTTCCATCTCTTCAAGTTGTACTTGAATTGACCTCTTTCACTCATTTTTTCTCATTTAGGGGTGAAATGATGCAATTACTACCCCAGTAGATGAAGTACTCTGTACATCCACTTTGACAACTCCAGCAGTTTTTAGGCTCAGAATCTGTAATTTGGCTTTGTCTGACCTGCTGTGGTGGGCCAACAGCCACCCTCAAGAGGAAGCATTATTTAAAAACACAAGCGTGTCAGGGAATGACCTTCAGAAGCAAGTCAAAGGCTTTTCTTTCAGTTACCCAGATACTTCCACAAGTTTCAGTTCCCTTTTGCTGTCTCTCTCCCACTCAGCACCTGTGGTTACAGGCCTCAGCGCCTGCACTATCCGTAAAATTTAAATCTAGAAACACTGCAAAATACTTGTTTATAATGTGTTTTCTGTGTTTTGTCACAAATACAACTGACACACAGTTTAATTTGTATGTAAAAACTGCTTTATGAAGAATCACTATTTCAGCATTCTCTTTAGTTTTGGACCACCATATGTTTGAACAGCTGAAAACAGCTTTCTCATACTCACTTAAGGCAAACATAGCACTTACACTACTTCTGCACACCTATTATTCACTATTTTGATTGCTATTTCACGAAATGCCAGTTTGACAAAGACTGAACCAAACCATGCACAGCATAGAGACTGGTAATTCCAGGTATTTCATGGCAACTGTTTTCCTAAAAATCAGAAGTGTCAATTTCATGAAAGTAACCTCAACAATCAAGTAATTTTAACCGTTTTGTTAAGAAAAAGGCTACAACTATCATGATTTCTTGCAGTCAACAGAATAATCAAGTCTTCAAAAAGAGAAGGTTTCCTGTGGTTATGGTTTACAGCCTCTTTATGTCTGGGAAATTCAAGCGTGACAACAGGACATCTCAAAAGTTCAGCTAAATGTATGAATTTGAAAATACAATCTGTTAAATTACAGAAATACATTCTATCATATGCTATCAGTGAAGCATGAAATAAAGGGAAATGACAAGGGAAAAACAAGCAAGATGGAAGGAGTGTAGCACAGAAATTTTGAGGAAAAAATAAGAGTAATATTGCAGATGACAGAGACTAAACTTAGGCATGAGAAGATGGCACAAAAATTCAGATGACTGTTTAAACACTGCAGTAAATCAAACATTAAAACATATTTCATCATCAGAGTATTTTTTTTCATTTATGATTGATAGGGGTCTTTTACTAATTTTTTTCCTTTTCTTTTTTATTTGTGCTTTGGGTTACAAGAGATTAAAAATCCACTTAAAAAAAAAAGGAAGGACAAAAGTAGAAGTAAACACCCAAACTCCTGTGTCTGAATAACAGCTGCACAGTCATGACATAAAAACCACTGATAAGAAAAATTATTGTATTACCATATTTCTCCTCATATGCAGGTTCTTCTTCTCCTTTTTCAGTTTTTTCATTTCTGAGAAACAAAATGAAAATTCTACTCTCATTTTGAATAGCAAATAAATACACTTTTTTTCTGGGAACTCTACACTCTGATACTTCTTACAACTATTAATAAAATAAAAACCCCACATTTGCCCAACATGTCAAATCATAGCTAAGAAAGTTGGAAAAATGTCAGCAATTATTATAATAAAGTATTTCAGATTTTACAACTACCTATGGTTAAAATTCTGAATCCATCTCTTAAAATCACTCTCTTTCTGCATTCTCTACAACAATCTACATCAGCTTCTCAAAAAATATTTTGCCATCTGGTTTGCTTCTTGTTCTAACCTTCTTATTCTGTGTTGACAAAATAAATTAAAAATAACCCCACCTCTCCTTTCTTTCCCCTTTTACCATAAAATTAGTTTTTTCCTTACCTAAAACTCTCCAGAATTCTGCTCCTCAACTGTTTTCGTATCAGAAGTTGCCTTTGAACTCAACATTTTCAGCAACAGCAGCCTGAACTTCTCTTTCATCCACTCCTCTCACAGATGTTCGGACATATTTTCACATAACTGATTATAAATGGAGTGACCCAGTCTATGATTCTATATCCTTCCTCTAGATTAATTTTTAATATCATGTCTAAAGGTACATGGAATCTTTCCTGATCTACTTCCTTGTTGCTATCAGTTGTTTCCTCTTAATTTAATTACACCTTACAATTAAGAATGTAAACTGACTTCTTACTATAGAATTAGGCACAACCTGCGCAGCTACGTTCACTCATCACTAAGCTGTGCTCCAACCTTACTCCTTTCTTCTATTTATTAAGCTCATTTCTGCCCTTGCCTTACAAAAAAATAGAAGCCCAATCACAATAAACAAGCAAAAAACTGATGGAAATCATATAGGATGAAGTTCAGTGGCCATACCCAAGTCACATGTGCCCACTAACACAGTCCACAACTTTTCTTCCCTCAACATTACCGTACAAATGGTGCTAGCATGACAGAATCATTAGAATCCAGCTCTTTATTTAATCTTGAATAATCAATAGTAGAGGAAGCTTCCTGTTCAAGTTTGGCAAAGAAGATCTCTTTCTCTTCTTTTTCTTCCAAGGTATCCAATCCAACTCCCATGATACTTTGATTAGGCCCAGAAGCTATAACTGAATCTAAATTTCAAAACAAAGAATAAATTTTGTCTATGCTCTAGGTCCACATAGAATAGCCATAATAATTAGCAACAATTACAGACAGATGTATAAAATATTAGCAGTATCACATAATCACAAACTAGTACTAGGAGACTTCACGAGATGCAGCTGACACCAGTGAGGAATCCCATCTTGCAATGAATTAAGGTAAACTGCTTTTAATAGTGATTTATTTCGATCTACCTAACTTCATGAAATGGTTGGGCACTCGGTTCTCACCATTTGTTTCCAGGCTGTCTCTACTCAAGGAGACAGAAACCCCATTACTTTTCTGAAGCTGCATCTTTTCCATATGCATGTTTTCATAACTTTCTCCCACAGGCTGTGAAGTGTTCTGTATCTTGACAAAGCTTCCATTGGCTCCAAGAATTCCTAGGAAAGAAGTTGGAATATTCTCAACTACCATCCAAAAGCTATTTGTATGACACTTCAGTCTTTCGGTCACCTTCCAGAACCAGTTTAAATCTCATGTTGCAACCGCAGAGATATGCAGGTTCACAAATCACATTCACCTAATTTCCACTGCTATAATTCTGTATGTAAATCTTGTTTAACTAATTAAGCTATTATACAGATTGTCTTCCTATGCTTCACATCTGCACACAAACCTAAAGCTCAGCATGAAGCAAATGTAGAAACTGTAAAAACTGACTTACTGTCACATTATTCATTGAAGACAATCACACACACAGGTCCCTGTACAAAAATTACACTTCATTGTTAAAAGCCCATTCATTTTATTTGACCTAGTATCTCAGATCACCACAGGCTTTTTAAAATTGTAGCCATTGCCTTAGCAGCTACATTTCATTTGCTGCTTAAATGTTTTAAGGAAACAATAATATTCACATTTACTTAAAGGTCACTGATGAACACTCAGTTCTTTCATTCTGTATGTTTATGCAACTACAAATTGCAGGTGCTCTCCTTATTGTAATTTCATTCTTGTGAGCATTCAACATCACCTAACCAACTTTATGCTGGCCTTCAGGCACAATACTGCCTTATCTACTTCCTTAAGGAAGACTAAAAGCCAGATATTGCAGGATATTACTAGTTCAAAAACTCCCTTCTGCCTACCCATAAAACACAAATATTTATACTCAGATTCTGTACAAGTTTTTGTTGGAGAAGCGGTAGGAGAAAAGCTGCTTATGCATTTTATCAAATGGCATATGAAATTATTTAACAGTTCTCACAGAAGAGAACAGAAATTAAGTCCGTCTTTTCCAACATGAATTTTTAGCTGGTTAAAGAGACTCAGAAGTTTTTGTTCTGCCTGGCAACATGAAGTTTGGACTGTAGCTTTGTCCTTGTACTGAACATATCAGGAGTGGTAAAGACCTTGACAACAGCTCATTTCCTGCTGCAGGAGACTGAAGGAGAGAAATGCATCAACAACATGAACCCAGTCTTTCATGTGCTGACCAAATGCTTTGGCTCTGGGCTCTTCCTCTGTCCTCTATAAAGGTCCATACAAGTCCCTTTTAAAAAATGCCATACTTGCCTATATCATGGCAATGGAGAGCCCTTTCCCTTTGGTACTGAAAATGTGGGGCAAGTAAGAGTATCAACACCTTTTCCATCTCTACTGGGCAGCCCTCAGCATGTTTATTCTGTTATGAAGTAGAATAAGTTTACTTTCTTTATTTCAATGGCAAAGTCCCCTTGCATATTTTATTGGGAGTCTAAGATTCTACATCTTAGAAATCCACATTCCTTTATCTAACTTCAGCTCTGTCCTAACTACAGAGCTCTGATTGATTTGCCTTGCACGCAACAAATAAACGTCAGAGACATTATCTGAAGCTCCACACAAATACAAGTTAATGCCTAAATAAACACATATTGCTAAATGCCTAAATTAACACATATTGCTAAAACCCTAAATAAATACATATTGCTACTACACTGAAAAGTATAAAATGGAAAGCTCAAAGTGCTGAACCGTAGCAAAAAACTACAAATAGCCCATTTCTCAGGTACCAAATGCAGTAATTTAAAGCAATTTACCCAGATGGAACTCTATTCTAGTTATCAAGGCAGCAAATAAGAGTCTGTTTGCAGCTGGGTCACAAGTTTTTTGCAGAGCTTTAGATTAGCCATAATCTCACCAGACCCCAAACACCTTATTTTTGAATGTGAATATGTTAGCCGAATCAAATGATAAACTGACACTGACCTCCCATGTAGAGATTTGCAAGAAAGGAGAAGTGAATATAAATCGGTGAAAATCCAGTTACAATATTTAAAGAGCAAAATATTAAAAAAACCCCATATTTTCATGTTGTTTTATTTAATAATCTCAAATTCAATGACATTTCTGAACAGATGTACATTGATCTTGAAGGTATCCTTGGATTTATGTAAGCTATCTAATAATTTTTAAGTATTTTTCCAGGCAAAGTTTGAGTCAAATCAGAGTTTTTTTAAAAAAAGCACCTCCCATAATAATCTAAAAATCAAATACTATTTTTGCAGCCATTAAACTTTGCAGTTTAGCCATTCTCAACACCCAGACATACACCCCAGATTACAGGGAACTCTACTGTTGCTAATAAAGGTCTGTTTTCGTTCACCCTACACAAGCTGAACTTTGAGAAACCTATCAAATTTGGAAAAAAATATCAACTTGTATGGATTTTGAAGGAATTTCACCGTGCTTTTGGCTGTTTGAAGAGTTCTACTGGTTTCTGGGGGGCTAGCAAGAGTGATTTTTTTTTTTTTTTTGGAGGGGGAGGGTATTTGTTATTTTTTGTAAAGACTTTTAAAAGCAGTAGTTTTCGTAAACTCCAAGGATTTCCACCTGTAACTTCATATGCAACATTTTGTAAGGCTAGTGATATACAGTATTCCTTTTTTTAATGTCCTGCCACTTGGAATTAATTAAAATAAGAACCTGAGTTTCACTTAGAAAAATATTTGTAACCACCACATTTGAAAAGTTTAAAAAGGACTCAAACAGACAATGACAAACACCTTCTTAAAAAGTAACTTCTTTCCCAATTTGACCAAGACTGTCAGAACTGAGCCATTCTATTTTTTTAATATATATTTAATATAAAACACAGTAGATTTGTTACCCTCGGAATTGTCTGGACTGTCAGAAGCAAGGGTTCCTTCCTCTTTGTTTAAGTATGAATCTTTCTTGTTCTTATGAAATTTTTCCAACATTTTGAATTTAGACAAAGCCTTGCTGCGAGATGCACTGGAAGAAGGGTTAGAGGGAACTACTTCTAAGTGTACATAAACATTTAAACATTTTATGCACAATGGACAGGGAATAAAGAGAAAAATAAGATGTGAGACTTCAAATTGACACTTATGAAAAAGTAATACAGCTAAATTTCTTGTCTAATTTTTCTATCTATAACTAAAAATTAAGCTAATACTTATAACTTCTGAGAATATAAATCCCTTTATCTCCTTTTTTTTTTTTTTTTTAAGGGAGAAATTCCTTGCTCCATGTATACTTTGCATTCAAATACACTGTTCTAGGAGCTCTAGGAGCTTTACCTCAAGGAAAAGAAAATCAGTAAAACTACTTCAACAATAAAACTACTTCAACAGGTTTTGGAAGCAAGCATCTAGATCTGTCAAAGAAAAGTGGAAAAACATAAGTGTAAATTACTACTGTCTTTATCGTTGTCAGGTATAGAACTGGATGTTGTTTGCTCAAATCCTTTTGGGGACTTGCTGAACAGCAAATACAATCAAGCCCCTCCCATTCACATTAGCAGAATTAAGTTTTAGATAACAGTACCTATGCTGAAAACTGTGCTCTCATGAAACTTAGATGATAGTCTCACTGCACCCTTTATAAACTTTAGGCTAGATGATCTGTACGAAGTCTTTTTCCTTGTTTAAACTGCCAGGGTGGAAGAGGGTTCTAAATTGACTAATTCAGAGAAAACTTAGTTACAGGTCTTTTGAATTTACCTTGGCACAAGGGATAGACTAGTCTAGGAGAGCAGGCTACAGACCTCTGCCACTTAGAAAGAGGAGTATGGGGATACATGACCAGAAACTAACACAACTCAGACATCGAAGATGACTAAAGGAAGCTGGTGAGCATATAGCAGGTGCAGTGTCAGGAGAAAAACTGTACAAAATCCATTCTGATACTGTGCATGGGTCCTTTATTCCCTCAACTGATGTGCAAGTCCATTAGTGAGGCACCATTTCTCCAGATCTACATGCTCCCACATTTACTGGGAAACGAAGCAATGACAGCACGCCTTCCATTGTACATGATGCAAACACCTGATATCTTTTAAAAGTAATTTGAAATTTAAAAGTGATTTGAAATAACTACCAAAGTCCTACCACTGCTCATATTTCAAATATTATTCCTAATTTGAGAAATAAATTATTTAGTGTTTATCTCCCAGACCGAGATGCTTTATAGCTATTCTATGAAAGTGAGGCTTATGAAAACAGGGCAGCACATACATTCTAGGAAGCTAACGTAGGGAAATATTTTATAGGCTATATACTAGCTCACCAACATGATCTAGAGACCAAGTGCCAAATATTTCATTGTCATGGCTCTCCAAAATATTATTGATCTGCTTGAATTCAACACCAATGCCATGTTTAAACTAGTACAAGCCAATTGCTAGTGTCTTTTAGAGGAAATTTTATTTAATGGATCAATGCTTATAAATTTTAATTATTCTCTGGAGTTTCTCTTCAGATAGCGTAAGAAGTGACTTCATTTAAAAGGCAGAATCTGAAGTTACACTGACTAAAATAATCCTGCAGATTAAACAATTCAAGTTTGTCATTATTACACCAATTACTGTTTCCCTGCATGTTTGCAGGGGCAGCATTCAGAGAGCAGCACATTGGTCAGCAGAGCAAAAAGAGTCACATCAATAGAAAATGAGTAAAATGCTTACCTGACTTCGGTCTTTGAAATTAAACAAGTAAAACAATGAATATTAATATTTCTTGAGTATGAAATACAGAAAATATAAGAGACTTTATGTTTAATAAACAGGTGTTTACTACAGGTGAGAGATTTTTGTTCAGACTTTCAAAGTTATCCTCCCTCTTCCCCAGGCTTACGTTCAATACTGTCTGTCCTACTACATCAGTATAGGTAGTGATATATGATGTTACAACAACTGAGCAAAAGTTCACACAGTTATTAGTTTCTTCTGGAAATGACAAATGAAGTAAGTGGCAGCTTGTTTTCAGTGAGAACGCAAAGGTCAAATGGACAATTTGCTAAGGATTTTCTATAGGAAACACAGCAGTAATACAAGGTTAATACTAAATAAATGTATCAAAACATATTTAATCAAATACCAGACTGGGAATCTGAATGGGGACTCTTTTGTCTGCTATTTTCCACTATTTCAGCACGGTTTTCTGTCAGTTTCTTCTCTTTTCTCACTTTAACAAATTTTGTTTGAAAATCTTGAAAAGACAAACAGCAGGAACAGACAGACAAGCAAGACAGGACAGGAATTCTTATTATCCAATTTCTTTTTTATCATTTAAACGACAAAAGCAAGTAGAAAAGACATTAGTTAGAGGAAGGTCTTTAATGTGCCCAATATGGAAGACAGTGCCTTGAATCATAATTTGCACATTTCAGTTTAAAGCTGAAAAACAGAGTTCAAATGTGCCTAGAATAACTAGTGGAGTTATCTTAAAATGGAATTATTTTAAAAGAACTTCATACTTCTCAGCCAAATGAACTGAAGTAATCTACACTGTTACCATTAATCTACAAAACCAAATGAAAACAGACTATTAGTTTAATTATCTACCTATTTCCTGGCACTTCTGCACAAGATACGTTGCAAAAAAAAAAAGATGAAAAATAAATGTGCAGCACATATTTAGTCGTATTCTCTTCGCCTTTCAAGAAAGCATGATATAGATACCGAAGCAACTCACAATTAAAACCTCAAACTGGAAACAACCTATCAGCTTGGTGTATTGCACAAGCTGATTAGCCAGACTTTGTTAAGATAACAATATCTCTACACAGTGACACCCAAACACACCAACTTACAGACATGGAGCATGTATTTGTAATGCAGTGCCACACTGTGGGTGGAGGTTTTTATACATTTACATAAGTTTGATTCATTAAGACAAAACTCTTTTAAAAATACTAATTCTATACTAATTTTTGATAATGTTCTATCTGCAACCAACACAGAGGTTCAAGCCTAGGAGCACACACAAGGATCTCCACAAAATTTCAAAGTATGCCAACGTTACACTTTTCAGAAATTAAATTCAGCTTATTTTCACAATTGTAATCACCACGTCAGTATTTTTATTTTTTACCCTAGGACGATTGGTTTGCTATTTAGGGGATATTTAATAACCTTACGAAGAACTACAAATCAAAATTGTCATCTTCTCAGTCATCCCAGGCAGTAACTTACAACTGCAATGCTGCTGTGCCTTCACCCACAATTAATATGTCTGAGCAATACTCTACAGAACATAAACCTGCTGAAGAATATTAGATCTGGCAAAACTGTATTTGACAAAGTACTTGGAAGCATAAAAGACAAACAGAGAGACACACAGAGCAAAATAGCAGCAGCTCTAAAAGCCTATCCACACTGAATTTCTTATAGTCACCTGACCTGTCAACTTAAAACCCCTTAAGAATATCTACACAAATTAAAATCATTGCAGTTTGTGGTATGTACACACATGTATAAATCCTCCTCTACGTACAGGATTTGTAATTTTCAGTTATAGCCAAAATAAAACTGCCAAGGAAAACTCAGTTTATCCCAAAGGTGGCCCAGTTGGTCTCTGAAAATGTCTCTCTTTTGACTCTAAGCTAATTGCCCTCCAACTATATCCCTAGTTAGCAGAATGCCTTTCATAATAGTACACATTACGCAACTGCTACCATTTGCAAGTGTCCAGTATGACAAATAAAGCCATTTCCTCTTTAGATGATACAACTCCTCTTCTTGCCAAGACAGAAAATGGAAAGCCCTCCAGCACGAATTAAATGTTTGTCTGCTTGGCAGTACTAAAGCACTAGCTGGGACATGGCTTATTGCATATGCCCCAAGAGCGTGGAATTCTATGCAGAGTGGTGACAGAGGGGTAAATGAAATAAAACCAATAATCTGGCTGGCAAAAGTGGTGCTTGGATAAGAACTCAGTGCACAGATCTACCATATTTGGTGTACTTTCCTATATTCTCAGTTTTATTATGTCCAACTGCCAAGACATGTTGGACTTTGATTCAAAAATCATTACACAGATCACTTTCAACTTCCTCCAAAAAAATCCAGCCCCTCACTAAAACTATGAACAGGCTAGCTTCTTTTGCAAGTAAATTGATTCCATACTGGCAAAACTGGGTAGGCTCACCATTTGCATGTTTTACTGTTAAAGGAGAAGGTTTTCTTATGAGAGACCTTACAAAGCTTACCAGATAATTCATACATCAATAAACTGCACATCAAGCTTGTTTCAGTTCTAATGGCTTTACCTCTAGGTAAACTACATAGCTGATAAGATATTCTTAATTAAAAAAATTAAAGTGGTGAAATTTATTTGCATGGAACAACTTGATATAATCACATTGGTTCTTCTGATTCTGCTTTTAATTTTACTTAAGCCACACAAGGACTGTTCTCTAAAACTTATAATCACCCTGCCCTTTAAGAATCCATTCCAGTGTGTTTTGTACCATGAGAAGCATCAAAGTTGGGTTGCCTCAAGCATCTCAGAAAAACCATGGAAACATGCAAACATGCTGAAGTTCTAACATCAGTAGATGAGGTCATGATAACCTCCTAATTCTCACACTGCCCAGCAAGAACACTCTGTCCTTCCATTTTTCAGAAAGCTGTAAGGAAATCATTGTATCTCATAACTGCCTGATAAGAACTTTCTCATATCCATCTGAGTTTTACAGCAACATCTTAAAAGGCCAAAGACAAATAAGAAGTCCAGGCACCACCTATTAGGGTTATGCCTAAATGGCACAACTGGTGACTAGGATTTGACTCCTAACTAGGACAACACTGACAGGACAGAGCTGTGCTTAAAATCAGAGACTATCAGCAGTATTTTAACTCTGACATATGAAAAACTGATTTTTGTAACTTTCTGTTAAGCTCCAGCCGTAAGAAACACAAATCATGAAAACTAAGAAGCCCCCAGTTACTACAAGAACAAGAGGCAATCACCCTGTGGAAACTCACTACTCATGTGCTTTACTATCCAAGAAGAAAACAATGGAGAAATGAAAAAATAGAGGTAAAAATCTTGCAAAAAATAATATATTTTCTTCCAGAACTATATGACCATGTCAGTACTGAACAATCATGCCGTCACAGCCCATTTCACCTTAAGCCATGGTTCTTGGCAAGGCAAATGTTGAGGATACTGACAGATATACATCAAGCTGATGCTGAAAAATTTTTCTGTGGTTTTCCAATCTATTACAAATGTTGCAGTTAGCATAAGTCTATACAAATTGGTCTTTTTCCTCTGTAGTTTTAAAAACAGAAATATAAAGAAGAGGTTGGCTACAAAACATATTTACCAATATTTTAGCAGAATTCATAAATTACGTTTTCTAATTATTTTACTATTTATAACGTGCTTATTCTTAACAGGTTTCAGTAACTCAAAAGCTACAGAAAAAAACAGCAGCTTACAGCTTGAATATATTCTACAATTATAGAATATTATGTTCTACAAATACAATTCTATTTGAGTTTTGTACTTTACAAACTTGCATTGTAATGTTCTAAAACACTTAACTGGCATCAGCTTAATCTGAAACCAGGCCTAATACGCAGTATGAGACAGAACTAGCCTGACCCCCTGTGGCCAAAATATTGCAAAACTATATATTACCACCATCATCCAAATCCTCCTCAGATATCCACCACGGCACTGAATCTTTTTTCTTCCTTTCTTTTTTCCTGGGCTGTCCCAATGTCTCTAGAATGCTGGACTTTTTCTTTGAATTTCCAAGTGAATCATCTGAAAGAGACTGAATCAATTGCATACAAGGTTAAAGAGAGCTTCTGCATTTTCACATTAACTGTTTTTCAGCCACTCGGTTCTGGACTTTTGAGTTCAGATGCCTTTCTTTACTCCCCACTGACTGCCTTTTTTATATACGCATGACAAAGCTGATTAAGAAAGAATAACTATATTCATGTGGCATAAGTAGTGAGTATTATAATAACCTCACTGCCAGAGTCTGGATGTGTTAAAAGCTAACAGAGAATATATGTTCAAATGAATAGCATAATCAGCTCTTTTTCAATTAGTTACAAAACATAAACCCCAAAATCCTGACTACATCCCTCAAGATAATATAGTAAAATAGAAACAGTTTTGCTTTGGCTTTGTTTTGTACATGAACATTATTATTATTTGAAAAATAAACATACTAGCTCACAGCAAACCATATTTCAGAAATTAATTTTATACTTTGTATTCATGGAATATAATAGAAATGCCAGAGCCATTCCTACCCATTCGTGTATTAAGCTTTCTATGTGTAAGTCATCCACTCTGATTTTGACTGATGGCTTAAATTAATGGAGACAAGGTCTATGAGTATAAACATCCTATGAATTTAAGTTACTGAAGAGTAACAGGAAGGGAAACACAACTAACCCTGCTCTTTTGCTTTATTAAAGCCCTTTGTGGCCTGCAGCAGGCTCAGCATCACAATTATATATCCAGACAGTGATCAAGGAAATATCCTCATTAAGTTAGAGCAGTGAACTGGGGTTAAGAGGAGTGGAATATTTTTTATCTAAATTTTTAGCTCTAATTGCTGAAACCAATTGTCTTAAACTGTCTTAAAGAACCCAGTGAATAGTCAGCAAAGGCTGTAAACAGTAAGAAACAACAAATTCACAAATCAAGTATAGCATATGGCAAAATTTCCAATGCTTCACTTTTGTAACAGTCACAAATAAGAATATGTGATAGTATAAACAGACTACTAGAGGCAACAGGATTGTGGGTACTTAATGTGTAAAATATAAGGGTACAAGCCTCTGCAGTCCTGATTCCTATTACATGAAAGCATTACCATAAAAGCCTACCTTTACTCTATGATTAATGCTTCAACTTCTATGTGCCTAACAAGAACATCTATAAATAAAATTACAATTACATAAAACAATAATTTAAGAAAAATTGTAACAAATATTCTTATTAATATCTCTGATGAAGAACATCTTTAGAGCTTACAGTTTCATTTGAGAAAACTGAATGCTTGTCACCCAGACTAAGAAAGAAAAAAGTGCTCTGAGCCTTGCACTTTAATAAAACACAATTTTAATAAATTATGAAACTGCTAGACAACCAGATGTATTGCAATTTCTTTAAGTTGGCTCAGTGACATAGAATAAACCAGCTTTACATTCTTAATATATATTCTATAAATAGCAACTTCCTTGCACTAGTCACAACACAAGTACTAATGCCAGTATCCCCAAAGGTCGGACTGCCTCCTGCACTAGAAGCACTGACAAGTGCTCTGTTATCACTTTCTGTTTCTTTTACAAACAGGTGCTTGAGGCAAGCTGTGTTATCACTTTCTGTTTCTTTTACAACTAACAGTATCTTCTGCTCTGCAAGCAGAACTTCAGTGATGCTCACATGCCTTAGTGTATTGTAACTAAAGAACCTGAAACCCCCATAGGTTGGTCTCAAGTTCTGGAAACTTTCTGTGTCCAGCCATCTTGTCAACTGCAGACAGTTGGTAAAGAAATGCTGACACAAAAATACTACTGCGTTTTTCTCAACCTGTCAATTACCTTGATAGCGAAACTTTCAGATTTTTTCCCTTCCTTTGGAAAAAAAAAGTAGATAAATAAATCAATCAGCTTTTGAAAGATTTGCCTAAACAATATTAAGTCTTCCTCAAACTACTGAGAAACAGTTTTTAGTATTCTCCCCACCATTACACCCTAAATACAAACATCACCTACAGAGATTTCACACAGGGGAGCACATCAGCTTCTCATCTTTCTCACATAAAAGGCCACACAATTTTTATTACCAAAAAAAAAAGAAAAAAGAAAAAAAAAGAACGTAACAGAGGACGCATGTGTAAAAGTAACAGAGAGTAAACACTGTCATTGTTATCTGGGTCTGTATCCAGCTGGCAAAACACAGAACAATGCACATTTTTTATGGTTCAATTTGTAGGTTTAAAACAGTTTTAGTTTGAAATGAAGACATGAGTTGCTAAAAGTTACATTCTCTGGAACATGCCAAATACCACTTAGACTAAGACAGCTATTTTTTTTTTTCTAACTTAAGCATTCTCAGTGTGGGCAATAGCTGAGGAGTAAGAAGAGCATGTCAAATGAGGAACAAATACAAGAAGCAATCATATGCAGAGTTTTGACAGATGCTCAAAACAAATAAAAGAATAAACCTCTTTGCTCTTCCCCAGAGCAACTCCATAACAACAGTAAGTAAAGAACTTCTGAAGGAACTGCAGAGGCTAATTTTCTAATTCTACTAATATTAACAATTTTCAGTGAATTCAAGAGTGTTAACTCAGCTACATCATCAAATTAAATACCTTTTAGTAGTCATTAAATTGTAGCACATCCTCTACATCAAAAAAGCTTCAAGCATACATCATATATAACAGACTACAACAATATTCTCTGCTATCACTAGCTATGCTTATATACAGTAACAGAATCTAGTAAAGGCCTTATGTATGTGGTATATATGTTTTAGGGTTATAACACCATTTGTCTGATAGACCAGAGGACTAGTTCTTAAATTACAGGTCTAGTTACAGTGAAAAAACATACCTAGTCAGGGTATTTTGGTAATGCCTTAGCTTAAGTCATAACCCACGGACTTGCATGATTTTGCCTGTTACTCAAAATCATCAAGTGCCACAAGGAAGGAAAGGAATCTAATTCAAATTTTCTAATCACTACAACATGCTTCATTTTATACAAGAATTTTTAACTAGACTTCAGTGAAATTAAGTATTGCATAGAAAAATAAGGAAATTTTTAAAACATAGCTTGTGTCTAAACACAGGAAGAGTTTTCAATTATATATCAATCTGAAACTTCTGTTACTAAGTAACACATGCAATAATATTGAGAGAAGCAAAGAATCTTTCTGAAGATACAACCTAACAATTACAAAATATTTATTTAATCACAAAACTGTTCTCTTGATTTCAATACAGCTAAATAGTATGAATTAAGTTTAGCAATTAAGACCTTGGAAAGATCCACACATAACACTGCTGTGTAAATTATGTGATAAAACCACAGCTGAATCTCCAGTCTCATATTCTTCCAGATTGAAATTTTCTCCATATTTTAACAGAGAAAAAGGATGTGACCTTGCCCTCAAACATACCTCTTTCAGAAACTCTTCAAACTGCTCATCTAAATCTTCTTTTGAAAATCGATGAGCCATAATCTGCAACTGGACGTTACCTTCCAGACAAATGAGTTTAAAAACTAAAATTTAAAATAAAAATAAAGTTAATTGAATGCATTCTGAAATTAGATGTAACTTGGTGATTTGCTTGAAAAGAAAGCTATAAGCAAAAAAAAAAAATAAACTCTTGAGAGATGATAAACATCATTCCTCCCATCCTTAATCTAAACTGTTTACTGAATGAGACAATAAATGCAGACATAAAGAAATTAACAAAATTTCTTATAAGCAAAGTACTCATTTCCAAAACAACAGCTTCAGCATTTAAATTTTGAGGGATAAATAAAATACAATTCTCTTTACACCTTTGCATTTTTCTTCAAAAACAGCACTTTGTCAATAATCAAACAAGAATATTTGTAATATTCTGCAGCAATATTTCCCACCCATTTTAAGGGCTTTTAATTCCTTTCTATGTTTTTTTTTCTCCAAGACTGAAAACATCTGGCATTGTAGGTTTTTGTTTCATCATCTCTGCTGTGCTTAGGACTTGGTTATCAATAAATATATGAAAATCTTTTAAGATTAGAGAATGACATTTGTTTTGATCTGCTGTGACACAGAAAGCCAGTAGCTCTTGCCTCCCCTCCCATTCCCAAAATTTTGTGTTAATTTTCAGGTGTAAAATAATCTCCACGCTCAAAAGGCTGCAAAGCTTTTGTGTATCACACTGCTCAACACATATGGCTGCCTTCAAAACTGCATATGTATAGCAGCACTAAACTACCCTAGCATCTTCCAGGCTGAGAAGTGCTATGTAAACATAAAAGGGCTAAACATTTGCAGAAATGCTTTTAGCATTAATAAAAAATTCTCCCAATATGGAGCCCACTCAGTACACAGGACTGTTACCTACCTAGTAAATTGATTTTGACAGGCGAGTTGTGACAACTGCTTCCTGCTTTCACTCCTTATGCATCCTTAGACCACCCGACACTTTGGCTTTGGCAGTTAAAAAAAAAAAAAAAAAGTTATGTAGCAGACTGCCCAGACTTTGAATTGAGTAAGATATCCTTCTGCAAGCATTTGGACAATATCTCTGAAAACATGGTAAGGAGATTAAGAAGGCTCCCTCTCAGGACACACATAATCCAGTACCCTTTTATACTTTTACATCAAAGAACACTTGATGCCAAATGTAAGATGCTTTAGCAGTTTATCAGCTGTGCCAACTAATTCAGTAAGTGGGGAATACTTCATTCTAGCCTCGTCAGAAAAACAAAGTGATTCTTCTGACATTATCTGTAGTTCCGCACACCTTACAATTACCGCTTTTATAAAACCACTGCAAAGCTTTATTTTTTCAAATGGGACAAAAAGACAACCAATACGCCAGAAAATTTCCGTAACAGAAGATCAGAAACACTGCCCTTAACAAATACATTTTTCAGCCATGCCTTTAGACTTGAAGGTTCACAAACAGCTGTGCACAAAACAAAGGCGGCACTTGCTGGGATATATGCTACGACACAGCCCAGGAAGCAGTAGTAATTGAGGAGGTACGTCTAAACCACAGGGATGAGGGAAAGCTTAAAACAGCCTAACTCATTTCATGTAACCTTTTAATCATCGCAGCCGCGACCTGATCCTCCGGCGGCTTTCCCTGGAGCACACGCAGCTGGCACACGGCAGCCCGGGGGCTCGGACACGGACGGGCTCAGCTCGGCTCGGCTCGGCTCGGCGGACCCAGGGGCCGCTCCGGGGAGCGGCGGGGACAGGGGAGACGCGGCTCAGAGTCGGGCTATGCCCCGGGATCGCCCCCGGACCGCACCGGGCCCGCTCGGCCACGGCTGCCTCACCCCGCGGCGGCGCCGTTGCCCGGGAAACCCTCCCGGCCACCGTCCCGCCCGCCGGCAGGGACCGCGCCACGTGATCCCGCCAAATCCGCCGGCTCCGCTCCCGTCTGCCCACCCGGCCGCCGCGGGGCGCGTGACGGGAGCGAACGGGCCCTGGCGGCCATTCCCGCCGCGGGAGAGCCCCGGCGGGCGGGGACGGGCTCCGCTGGCCATTCCCGCCGCGGGAGAGCCCCGGCGGGAGGGAGTGGCGGGGTGGCCGGGCGTGCGGAGCGGCGCCCCCTGGCGGGCGGCGGGCTGGCAGCGCCAGCGGGGCCGGGAGCGCGGCCAGGAGCGGGCCCGGCGGGATCGTGTTGAGTGAACTTCCCTGTCCAGAGCATCCAGGAGCCACTCTGGCAGTAGCACTCACACCACCTGAGCTGCGACCGAAGTCCCTCCACAGCAACAACACCCACACACAGACCAGTCAGTCCTTCCGGCTCGACCCTATACGCTTCTCCAGAAGTCCTTCAGCCGATCCTTTGGGAAAGCAAAAAGGAAAAAGTTACAAGTGTGTTGCTTTCCATAATGCAAAGGTCAAACTCAAAGCAGCCCTTTTGGCTCTTACGCTGAAATGCCCTCCTAAAGCTTTCCTAAAGTTTCAGCCTTGGTTGTCGGTCCTTGTGTTTTTAATACATTTTAGCACATCTCTGGAAATGTTTAAAATAGGCAGAGAAATTAATGACCCCTGTTTCCCTGAGCACTGTCTCTCAAATAACCACAGAACAATTGCAGTCTGTGCTTGCATGTGCTCTCCAGTGAGGGTCTGTCAGTTGTGTTTGTTGTGAGAGTCACGTTGCTTTAGGAATTTTTATGCCAGCATTTAGTAAATGGCAAACTAAAACTAGTTCACTTGAGAAGACAAATGAACATTGTTCGCACACACACACACACATACACACACATACACACATTTTGATTCTCTCTTCAGCAGACTTGGAACGAAAAGATTTTGAAAGGAAATTTTCTTTGGTAAGTGTTGGATACTCAACGCAAGTGAGAAACCAGTTAAAGTCCTATTACTGTCTCATTTCCTGTTAGCTTGAGAGATAAAGACAGTGCTTCCAATATGGTCTTTATGTATCCCAGATTTTTTTATGCTAGTATAAATTATAGTTTAAATTCAAAGAAGCAAAGAAATATGGGCTCTATATTTTCCACACAAGTCTACAGGAATTACTTTGCTAAAGGTGCTGCAGCACTTCTTTCAATCAGGCCTATTGTCTGCAGATGGAGTATTATATTTCTATTTGCAAAGTATTATTTTTCGTCTTTGTGGGCAACTTCTTCTACTCTCTACAGAAAATGTGGAATCTGATCAAGGACAGGATGCCCACATGAACTAATATACTAGAACAATTTGTTATGTGTGACAACCTACTGATGGTGAAAACATCAATTTCCAACATTTACTCTTTTGTTGCATGAAAAAGCATGGAGTGAGGCATGAGCATTTGAAGAGAAATATGGAAATTAATTAAAAGAATGTCAGTCTGATGCTTCATGCCTTGATCCTGCTCAGATTTAAGCCAATGCAAATTTTGCTATTAACTTCAAAGTGATAGCTGTGACATCATTCATTGATCATGAGAGTTACTTCATATATGATCAAATAATCACAGCAAGGGCTCGGTCCTTCAAGCTGCTAAAAAACTGTTGCACATTGAAGCTTTCCTATTTGCAGAAATATGTTCAAAGAGCCTTGTATGAAGTATAGAAAAATGTGCAGAGGGATCAATGCTGTTGGAAACCTCAGTGCCCATATGGGAAAGAAAAAAAATCCAAACCACTCTTCATGACTGTGGTGGAGAGGAGGCATAGCCTGGTGTTGAAATGTCATCCAGTGCATTCAAATAACATGCACAATAGCCACTTAAAAGATTTTCATTTCCTTCTAATGCCAACCAGTTGGAGCAGTTTTCTCAAGAGCTTTTAACAGTGGAGCATAGAAAAGGGGAGAGCAGGGCCAACCACAAAGTTCAACCAGGAACATGGCAATTTGGGCAGCAATGCTAGTAAAGCAGAAGGCTGGACACGAATTCTGAAACAGATCCTGCTGGACAGAGCCCCAAATTATAAGGTAAAATTGTGGCTCTGCTGGCATGCGTGAGAAGCCTTTGTTGACTTCTGTGAAACCAGATTTTGCTGCTGTAGTCATTAACTTCTCATTTAAATGTGTGGCGTGTGTACACTTAGCATTAGTTTTTCTTACTAAAACAGCAAAAATGTAAGGCTTCATGTATTAGCATAGTAATTTCAAAATTAACAGCAAAATTAAAAGGAATAATATATCCACACTTGTATTTTGTTGTCTAATTTCGGTTTTGTATCATCCATAAATGTCAGTGGGGGAAAAGACATCAAATAAAAAAGAAACAAAAATTTCTGCCGCATTCAGTTTGGCTGAAGCTTTGAATCAGATAGTATTTCAGTACTGAACTTGCAAATATGTGAAATATGATATTATGATAATAAATATTTAACCATATTCTTGGTTATGTTTTTTTAAAGGTTAACAGTTTTCTACTGAATGAAAAGCAAACAAACAGTAGTGAACTGAGAAGATAAAACTGCATTCTCTGTGTACACCCACTGTGATGATACTTCCTTAAATGACTATGCAATAAAAACCCTTTTCAGTAGGCGCATCAGAAAAAGGAGAAGCCTTCCCTAACTACAAGTTGCACAGAAAATTGAAAAATCATGTGGAACTGTATTTCATGTGAGAGAAAATGGTAGTTAAAGTAGGATTAGTTATAAAATAGTTCATCCCACTATAATTTCAGTTTAAAAGAACTTTTTTAATACTTTCACTTTTGGTTCACTGCAGGTCTTATTTTGCTCTGCCACTGATCACCATAGTCCTCAGATCCCAAGGGCTGGATTTATTTTTGACTGTGTTACAGTAACTAGACTGAACTTAGCATCAGTCTAAAAAACCCAACAAGTTTTCTCCATCATGCAATTTCTCCATGGGCTGAGAACTGAATTCTGTGCTGTGTTTCAAATTATTCCAGGGACCTAGATTGGTCGCGAATCTTATTTCCACTTGTGTCCCTTGAAGGGAGCTGCAGAGTTTGGAGTTTGGAAACTGGGCTGTCGTGTTTCTGGCCATTTCCCATTTTCTGAAAGTTAACAGACATGCACTGTTTCTCATACCCTTTGAAAGTGGATCTTCCCTATGTCTTGTTTGTGTAAATGTTTAATTGCCTTAATGTTGTGTCCTGTACTGCCAAATTTTCAGTTCCTTGGGAGGGGTGCAAAGTTGCTGTAATTACTGGCTGCAGGAATAAACCCTTTACCATCATAAATGAAACTCTCCTATCGCCAACTGTAAGCATTTAAAAGTGCCTTCAAGAGGGTATATGTTTGCAGTCAATAATTAAAGCTGCTTCTCACTCATACAGATTAAAAGAACTGCATTTGCCAACATTTAACACCATTTTTTTCTTTCATTTCCTGATTCTCCATAAACTTGTTCGAAAACATTGCTCTACTGTGTAATGCAGCTAGTGGAGCAAGATCCCTCTTGTTACAAACTTTCACTTTTGACAAATCCTGGGAAAATGATTGCACAAAGAGACAAACATAGCTGCTTTGGCCATCTATGGCATTTTTGAACTAGGTTAATGTTATCCTGTGCCTACTGTACATCCTTCTTTGCCGGTGAATATCCTCAGTTCTTGACATCAGGCAACATGCTCACAAATCCTACTCTACAGGACTGGAGAAACAACTTGGGTCGCTTCCACCTCAGAGTCATTTGAACTGCAAACCCTCATCTGCCATGAATATTCTCCTTTGTATATAGAAAGTTTTGTAATAAATTTTCCTCTTTGTGTGAAGACATGCTGCATGTGTTTGGTTTAGAAAAAATTAAGGTAAATATTTTTATAAAAATTTCTTGGTGGCTTAGGAAAGATTAAACTCAGAAAATTCTACAAAGAAAAATTAAGTGTTTTGATTTATTCAAATTTTTCAGATCTGTAACATCTTTCATTGATCCTGACAACATATCTGCTTAACACTGGCAGGAATATTAGCTGTGCATTTCAGATTTTCACTTGGTTATTTTTAGTTCTTCTGAAGCCTGGGAAATAAGAAATATAACCGCTTTGAACAGTCTGAAAGACCCAACTCTAGCAGGGCCTCTGAATCTGATTAGATAAAACAACAAAGAGGTTCTGTTAGGGCAGAGGCAGGAAGAAGTAAGGTGGGTGGCAATATCTGTCATAACTCAGGGGAAATGTAGCCTCAAAGCACTCAAAAGTGGGTGAAAAAAATAACATAAGCAATAGACAACTTTCCCACATCTTAGGTCACTCTCCGAATGCAGTTTGAAGAACTTTCTCTGTGCTCCACTTTTTTTTTTTTTTTTTTTTTCATTTTTAAAGTACAATAAACAGCACATGCATGTGTGTTTATATTAAAAAGCTGATTTAGAGGAACATTGTTTCCCTAGAGATAAGTATCCAAAAAAGCGCAGTGTGGCAACTGCGATTACATTTGTCAGTACAGACAGTATAAGATTTAAAGGGATAGATTTGCAGTTTTCAACATTTTTCTCAGAAAGTAAATTAGCTCAAGAATTGCCACATTAGGAGATTTCTCCCTAAAATAAAGGTAGTCACAACACTGCATTGCATCCTATTGTCCAAAAAAGGATCAAACTGTTGTATTCAGTGCAACTGGGAAGTCTTCAGTTTTTTAGGGGATTGATTTAAAAATGATCTGTTATTGGAGTGGTGGAAACCTGGAACACCCACACGTCTAAGGATTATGTTTCCCCATTTTCAGTGTAGGATGCTTATTTTAGGTTGGAAGAAACTGAAGAAAAGATTTGTGCATTTCCTCAGGAAAATCAGTCAAAATATTTTTGAAATTACTATGCATCCACAATGCTGAACTTTGTCTGTGTTAGAGGCTGGGAGCGTTACCTGTTTGAGGCCCACCACTAAGTGTGCCCCACCCCAGTCACGACTGCAGCTGAGAAGCGTGCTGCTTGTTCTTCCTATTACAGGTGTATCTGAACAGTCCCTCCAACCTGCTCTTTCCCTGCCTGTTGCTGCCAGCATTTCCCTGGTAACTCTAGGTCTGTCTTCCCTGGCACAGACGGGGTGTGTAATGGTAGGTACATACAGGTACGGTAGTTAATGCTAATCTGATACCAGTTTGCATCGCTCCAGTGGTTTAGCCCCCCCACGCCAGGCTGAGGGTGTTTGGCCACTTGCATGTGTCCTTGCACTGAAATGGACTTTTTGCATCTTCTGGCAAGAGGCTTGTTGCAGTTATGCTACTAAGGTAATAATTATTTTATTAAGCAGTCAATTACTGGACAAGATTTTCTAGTGGCTTGAAAGGTCATTTCTTTATTTGATGGATTGCTTGCTTTGCCATATACTAGCCTACAGTTTTAGAAAGAAAATTTGGAATGACCACTCATTTATTTGCCAGGAGTTTTATTCAGCTTTTTAACCAATAATGTAATCCACAGTTTTCCTGACTTCATCTCTGCTATAAACAGTATACCTGTAAACCAAGCACTTGTAAGAGGTATTTCTATGGAATTTGCAGCATACTAGATGTATTTACAGTGTACATTTAGGCAGGAGAGGTGGAGTGTTAAATATATCCCTATTACCTGTTTCCTCAATTTTTTTCTCATTGTAATTTCATCAAAAAATAATCCACTCCACATTTTTTATTTTATTTGAAATCTCTCTATGACGTTTAGTCTTACATTCCTACACAGGGAATTGAGCTTCAGATCTTAAACCTGAGGGGGCAAAACCAGATCCTTGTCAGGAATTGTTGCCTTTGCAAGTTCTGCTCCGTGGACTGCCCAGGTGAACATAAAGGAAGCCTTTTTTTCCTACTGAATAGAGAAAGGATAGACAAGTGCATATGGATACCCTTTTTTGTCTTTGGCCAGTGCAGGAATAACCCTCTCAGAACCAGGTTCACAGGTAATAATAAAAGCCCAATATTGATGAGGGAGACAGGGTGAGAATTTCAAGTCTATTCTCCGTGAGAAGCAGGTTTACATGTTTTGTCAATTTAATGTAGCTGTCTCACTTGTAATACTTTTGCTCATGGAGACAGAGTGCCCAGTCCCATGCTGTTTGTACAGATGCTGTTAGGTATAGAGATGGGGGATGGGGAAGTCAGGGAAAGCTGAGGTCTCCTCCTCTGCAGCCTACCTGGGGACCTTTCACCTAGGTGCAGATCCCTCACCTACAGCACATTTCTAGAATGCTGGCTTGGTTGCCTTGTGCTGGCAGCACTTGACAAGGAGATCTCATTCTGCACCAGGTGAAGCAATATTTCTGGAGTCAGCACATGGCCTGCTTTTCAATTTAATTTTTCCATACCTGGAAATAAAGATAATCTAAACTGATGTTCTGTGTACAGGGAATGAAAGTCAGCAGATAGGTACTGTGGAACAGAAAACCTCATTACTCTGGAATTCAAATGTGGACAGGCAGATTTTTTTTTTCCTATAAACAGTGTTTTAGGTAGGGATATCGCCTGTCATTACTTAGAGATCTCCAGCAGTGGAACCTTTGGTGTCTGTTTACCACCCACCTAGTACCAAAAATGCCACCAAGAGATTGGCTTGTCAAAGGACTAAAATAGTCCTTAAAGCTTAGTCTCAAAGGACTATGACACCTGCATTCCCATGTCTTCTCTTTCTGTCTGTGTCTACCCTGCTAATCACCTATTAGCTCTTAAGGTGCCAGAAATAAACACCAGCAGTCCCAGGGTTCAGACAGTGTATACTGAGAGCTGTGAAAATAGCCTTTTGCAAGTATTTGTCTGGAAAATAATACCTAGCTTAAGGATTTAAAATCCATTGACGTTCTTTGTTGTTTCAGGCTTCTGGGAAGTGGTCATTTTCCTAATGTGATAAGAAACTGAAATGTTTTCAAAGAAAAGACACTTAGATGTGTGGCCTGCCTGGATTAGTAAGACTGGAAGCTGCTGTTCTGTGAATCCCTTAATTATGACAAACCTTTCTTGGCAAGCTGCTATATTTATTTAATGCAATATTAAGCTCTGATTTTTACATGTCTACTAAGTGTATTTAGGTGTCACGGTTTTCTTGCAGTGCAATAATATTTGATTTGATTTTATTAAACTTTGGGTAAGCTTGGGCTTTTTGTTCATTTCCTCCACTCTGAAGGATAAAATAGCCCGGTGTGAAAGCCTTTTAAGATTCAACAATATTATTCAAGCATGGCATCTGCAACTAATAACTATGCAACTTCGAATGAAAAAAATGTCTAATTATCATGGAAAAGGGAAGATGGTTGACTCATCTTCTGCAGTTTGGATTACATGTGTGGGATTGTGTTTTGGATGGAGCACTCCAGAATAGCAACACTCCATCAAAAACACAGTCATGCACCTGTACTCCAAATGGCTGAATAAGGCAAAACACATGTCATCTGAACACTGTGAATCAAATTAAAAAAAAAAAAAAAAAAAAAAAAAAAAAAAAAAAAAAAAAAAAGAGAAAAAGAAAAGAAAAGAAAGGAAAGCTGGAAGAGAAATAAAGACAAATACCATAACATTGGTGTGTGTGAAGACTTGTTTCTCTAAAGCTCCTTGAGTGATTTATTTTTTGCTAAATCTCTGTTCGCAAGCCATGTTTGATTTTACTCAGTGCTGTTATAGACACTGCAACTGGATCTTATGGAAAGGACTGCCAGCAGCTGTTTGATCCTGATAAATTACAATAGCAGGCACAATTTACAATGAGAAGCTATTGCTGCTTCTGGCTCTAATGTGTGATGAGGTTTAAAACATTGTGGGCCAAAATTTTCCTTACCTGGAGGCCCCCTCAGACCACTCACAGGAGATTGTTAAAAGAGCCACTGAGCAGAAGAAATTTGCATTCACAGCAAAAGCCAGGCCCAATTTTATATCAGAGGTGAACGTGTGTGTGCACATGTATCTGCCTGCATTTGGGGTGAAAGAGATGTGGGGGAAAGAGGTACAAGAAGTGTGTATAATCCATGTATTTGGGAAACTATGTGTTAACTGAGCAGCCCATTCCCCTGGTTCCTTCTACATGTGCACACACGCCTCACCGCCCCCCCCCAGCGCTACCCCCTCCACCCCCCTTTATGCCTGCAATGCATATGTGTTGTGAATATTGAAGTATTTGCTCTGGAAAGTTAATTGATGACTGGCTGCTTATTTGATCTTCGTAGTGTCGAGTTCAAAACATAATGAGCGATAAAACCCACCCAATAGCTGGATGTGGAAAGAGGTGCAAATTCAGAGAAGTGATACGAATTAGAACCCCCTGCATATTTTCTTCGCAGTAGCATTCCCAGCCACCTGCCCCTGATTTCAGAAATGTATACAAGCCACAGTCCACATCCATGAGAGTAAAGCCTGATTTCGTGAGATATTTCATTGCCTAAAAACTTTTGATAACCTCAACAGATGCTGTTTTGCCTATTTAGGGGACTTTGAGTCTAATCAGGTCCACATACCTATTCTTACTGATGTGCCAAGAGGTAGCTGTCCTGGAGGCAAATGTTAATAATCCAAAAAAGATACATATTAAAGAACGAAGCAGTGAGAAAGAGATGTTGCAAGAAAAAGACAAACAAGAAAAAGGTATTGACTACATATACATGAACCTGTGCAATTTCTGATAAGCTCATATTCTGGTGCCTTCTGTAGGAAAGCATACAAGCGCAGAAGAGGCAATCTCACACACTTTTGTTAGTGAAATGTTGAATGAGGGTTCAGAAAGTCTCTAGTGATTATATTAAGGGGATCTGACAGATTGTTTACTAGACATCTGAAGGACTGTAATGCACCTCTTCTAACACTGGATTCCTGTCTTTGGGAA